ATTGTACTTTACAATATAATCAAGACAATACAGGGTGGAAAAAAAAGGCAGGGGGGAGAGAGAGGAACAATGTATTCGGCTCCGAGCTAGAAAAAAATGTACAATCCACTCAACCATATTGTTAGCCCTTATTATAACTTCCAGCGAACTATTGGTGTGCCAACTTTGCGGTCACCTTATAAGGGTAGAGGTAATCGACCGATCAGGATTAATCATCCCCAGAGGGGATGACTACTGTTGCTGCTAGTAGGAAGAAACAAAGGAGTCCCTTCTTTGTAGTGGGGAAGGACCAAGGGAGCATAAAGAGTATGGCTACTTGTGGAGTTTGATGCATTAGCTAAAGTTTACAGTTGGACCCATAGTTTGTGGGGGGCATTGTGGATCCATTCCATCAGCCTTTTATGTTTGGTAGCTTTGTAGTAATGCTCTACCTGTGGGAGGCCTGCACTGCCCAGTTCTGATTTTATCAAAATTGTTTTGTAGAGTGCCATCCAACCAAACCAGGTATATGTGTGTTTGGACAAGTCCTTCAGTTTTAGTGAGTTACACATCAAGGGGGTTTGTAGTTCAGATCAAAAAGTTGCTCTAGGCAGGCTTGAAGGTATGATCCCAGATATGTAATCACTGAGGATTGCCAGGAGAATGGAAAGGCTTGGGATATATGGGACTTCTTTGTATCTGAAAGTGGTACATTCAGGGCTTTTTTTAAAATGTATGTTCACTTCAAAATTGCTAAGGAGACTAAATTATTGCTTTAGAGCAGGTTATGCGGTCTTAGGATTTGACTTGCAAAGCAATAGGTTGTCTGCAAAAAGATTATGGTCATATTGATTAATTGACATCCCTTTTGATAGGATTGTTGCGGATAACAATGGCCAGATACCTCTCCATGGCAAGGATGTATGGGTCCTAATAAAATATCGCTAACCCTTATCTGTGCAGTGGGGGAGTCCTAAGGGGGGGGGTGGGGTTTATCAAAACTGTGGAAGTGGGATACCTATCTGGGAGTGGATGGCAGCAAGCAATTTCCAGTTGAGACGGTCAGTTCCCTTACAACAACTAAGAGAAAAGGCAAAACGGGTGGTGATGCCTTTTCATGTAATCAATGAGTGCCAGTGTTTTAATCCTGTTGCCTCTCGCCTCCCTGTAAGGTACGACACCCAACTGGTCCAGATAAATCCAAGACGGAATGTGGTTTTAAAGGAAGTTTGGTATTTTCAACATTAATCAAAGAAATGGATCAGTAACTGGAGCACTGTTTTGAGCGTGACACAGATGCATGCTTCTTGGCACTGCTTTGTGAAGGGACAGGACTCAGATAGTTAAATGTTGCTTCCATTATAGATGCCACCGTAAGATGCACCTAAAGCTCAGGCCCCGGGCAAGAAGCAAATACAGTACATTGTGTCAAGAATGTGGCCATGATTTAGGTGCCATTTTAACTCCTCAGGAAGCAAATGAACATAGAGCGTTGACAAGCTAATTGGTTAATATAAAAATGTTTTTGCTCTGATCCTTATTGTAATTGTAGCAAGGTCACAGGTTGTCATCCCAGCTCTTTCTTCTGAGCTGTATGCAATTATCCCATTAGTGCCTGTGTTGAAGGACTTTTGGATGTGTGTTGGTGGCATCAGATTGACATAAGTTTGAGATGCTTGCAAGATCATGTATAATATGACTGGTGCATTCAACCTGCAGTTGACCACCTCCTAGCCTCCATTTCACCTGCTTTAAGCAGGTTTTTTTTATTTTATTCCCCTGGATTGTATGGACGTGCTTAACCCATCTCACATTTCTTAAGCTATAATATTCCTTACTGTAATCCTAATGTAAAGAAAATGCATAAGCATAGGGTCCCTGCCATTAAAAAAAATGCATTTTAAAAAAAACCTTAGATTCAGAGATAAGACAGCTGAATTTATAGGCAAACAGACTTTTTATTTAAAAGTCCACTCTTTCCTTGCCTTGCTCCTTGTATGTGATGTGTGGCCTCACTAACCATCATGAAGGCTCTGCATTTCTATTTGTTTTAGTAAACCTTGTGCATAATTTCAGTATTTTCTTTTTATCACTGCTCCATGATATTTGACATGCAGTTTTGCGTTTTATTCCTTAATGTTTTGGTTTACATTATCCAGGTTTGTTAAAGGTTGCCTAAATTGAAATATATATATATATATATACATATACATATACATATACATACACCACACACACAGTACTTTGCATTGCTTTCAAATTAAAAAATTCTGTTAAAGTTCCTAATTCAGTGCTCTGTTTTCTAGGCTCACTGGTGGGCTGTATTGTTAATGGGAATAGCACTGATCATGTTGATGGCTGGGTTCATCAAGATTTGCAGCGTACATACACCGAGCAGCAATCCCAAATTGCCACCACCCAAACCTCTTCCAGGTATGTAATAATAGATTTCTGCTAGTGAATTACATATTTCTACTTGTGGTTAAATGTATTTTTTGATTTTGCATTTAAGGCTTGTATTAAGGTTATTTTGTTGACAGCCAAAAAACTTAAGGGAGTTCTCAACTAATAGATTAGTAATGGGAGTCTATAGTGTCCACAAGCACCCACAGACAATCAGAAAATAGCTGTATTGGGTGACTATGTATTGTGTATAGAGACATTGCTGAGTGAAGGTATACCAATCCAAATTGTTTTTTCCCCTAATAAGCTGGCATTGGAGATTTCTGCAGAGCACCTCCAACATCCTGCTTCTAAGGCTAGGTAAATGACGACCATTTGGACTTTGTCACGCAAGTTTCAGCTTGTATAAAAGCAGCTTGTACTTCAAGGTTTTCCAAAGCTTTTGAAAAGCTTTGAGCAGCTCCTTTAAAGCATTATGCAGCTGCGGTGTGGGGAAGTTAAACATAGATCTTAATGGGAGTGCTGGCTTTTACTTTAAACAAGCTGATAGCAGGCTATAGTAGGCTTCAGCACTACCTAAGCGTGTTAAACCTGCTGAACCTTACTAGCAGCTTGTTTTAAGTGACATGTGACAAGGTTTCTGTGTTTTAGGGAGCTGCGCAGAGGCACACGTTCCTTTTATGTTGGCGATTGGTTTTGTGCTTGCTTTTTTGACCAACATTTTATGGAATATGGCCAGTTGAGTGATGATTTTCTTTGCTCCTTTTGATTTTGCGAATCTACTATTTGGTAGTACAGATGAATAATTGTCTTATGAATTACCTGATCTGTTTTCCACTTGGTGTTTAGCCTATATCGACCATTGAAAATCTCTCAACGTTACAGTGCACGTGTGTCCAATCATGCTCCGCAAAGTGAAGTTATGAGTGTGCATAATGTTGCAGGAGAGCTCAATGAATGCCTTTTTAGTGGTATTGCTTTACCAGAACTCTCTAAAATTGGCTTCAGTTCTACAATGTTGCAGCAGACTTTTGCTGTCAAGTAAATTATTGTTTTTTCCAGCAGCAGACTTAAATTGCCCCCATGAATGTTGACATCAGCAGGCATTCCATTGTAATCTCACCACACAACTCCGCATATCCTTGTGATGTCACCAAAAGAGTAGAAAATAACTTTCAAAAGACATGAATAAGAGTAAAATGAATTCACTAAGTATTTACTACCGAGGGGAAAGGGGGCGAATGAATATGCACACTTAGATTTGTTTTTGTTTTTTGTCCTAATTCTTTGTGGCACAATTAAAATTGTTTAGCACCTTCAAAGTGGTAGACCTGTTGTGTACATCACATGTACATGATATGGTACAGACCCCCCAAAACTCTATTTTAACTTCAGGATGTAATGCAATAAAACAGGTAAAACAAGAGGGGTGCATACTTTCAGAAGGCACTGCATTATCAGCTTCAGGCCTGTTTTGTCCATCCATCCTGTTCTTTGTCCCATATACCCATATGATCCAATTGACTGCTCTGTAAATTCTTATTACTCCTTAGTAAAATGGATGTCTTTTATTTTCATTTTCAATGTACAGACAGCTATGTATGCTGCATAGTAAAGCTTCTTTTATTGCTACAGGCACATTGAAGAGGAGGAGACCACCACAAACAACCCAGCAACCTCCACGCCAGAGACCACGAGAAAGTTACCAGATGGGACACATGAGACGTTAACTACAGCTTTTTATTTTGCCTTTTGGTTCTTCCTAGTGCCTACCATGGGAAAGATTCACTCCAAAGAAATACCTACAGTCACTATTTCCTCTTGTTAGCAACCAAGAAATGGATTTTGACATGAGGAGGAAAATGGGACCGTGCTGTTGTACACACTGGAGGGGGAGCTCTAACTTTTTAACACTCTTTAACAAGCTCCTGTTGAAAAATAACCAGAATTTTAAATTTTTTTAACTTCCCTGAAGGCATAAAGTATTAGAATATCATTAATTCTTGTTTTTATGCCCCCTTCATTCTTTACGTTTTTTGTTTCCTTCCAGCAAAACTTTTATTAATTGCTGAGCAACAAAGTCTATTTTTTTTTCTTAATATAAAACTGCCAACCAAGGCTAGGAAGACAGAGACCACCTCAGCATTGGAGAACATCTCTTGCCAATGTACATACTTTGTTATATGCAGACGTTTATTTCTAATGTACAAGCATATGTCTATGTGCAATTGTAAAAACAAATTGCAATATGGATACGTTACTTTGTATTATAATTTTTTCCACTGTTAATGAAGACATTACTGTTTAAGTGACATACTCAGGATAACAAAGGATTTGATGTGTATAAAGGCGACTTACTATATATATCTATAAATATATATAAATATTTTTTTTTCCATTTTGTTTAACAAGGAAAGGAAAATATTCATTTTCCTTGCTAGGCTTCTTAGGATCAGAGTTGATTAGAGTGCTCATGTCATCCTTTTTTTTATTTCTACAACAAGCGGCTTTCTCTATGAGACTTGAATGTTCTCCTGGCTAACTACAAATGTATCATAATCTAAAACCACTCTAGACGTCAAGATTCCTTATTGTGTGAATTTCATTTTTTTACTTCATGTTTTTATTCAGCTCATGTGTTCCTAAGTAACTGGAAGGTTTAAGTGTGTGTGTTGATCAAAAAAAAACCTTTTCTATGAATGTTAGCCATCCAACTAGTTTCCTTACACCTACTTCTTTCACCTACTATAATAGGAGAGATAATGCACAACAAAGTGAAATCTTGATTATCCTACCATTACTTTGAGCGATAAAAATAAAGACATGAAGATGGTCAGTCAATGGCCAATGAGCAACAGACTTCTAAAGGTAACTTTCTTATGATTGATGCATTTATCCATTGCTGCTAGGGGGGGCTAGCAAATTTGGCTTCCCAGTTCTGCCTATGTCGGAAGTGCGGATATTCGTAAAAAGGAGATTTTCATATTTCTTTCATGCATCCCTGACCTGTGCATGTAAATATATGGGCATTACCAAAAGCCTTTGATTTCTTTCCAACTACTTCCAAGGACATCTATTTCTGTGGCATTGGCAAAAAATGCATACAGCGTTTTTATGTACCTCTGGGTTATATTCCCTTATTTGTGTTGTCTATAAATGCCTGTATTGTCAGTAGGACTTGCATAGCATTCTTTTTCTGGCTTGCATAGTCTTTGCTGAAGTAAAAAAAAAAAAAAAGTTTACACATCCATTTTCGTCATGACACGCCAGCAAGGTATAAAAAAAAAGTGGGGGAAAAAGACACACATCTCTTCCTTGTAAAATTGTACAGTGTGTGGTGATTTTTTTCAAAATAGAAAACACATCTTTTTGTACAAGGCTTTAGACACCAATTTTGTAAATGAAAGCCCAGTCTAGTAGATAGGAGACTATAAAGAATTATGAAATCCTTAAAAAAAAAAAAAAAAGTTCTAGTGTAGTTTTCAGATCATTTGAATGCATTCTTTTTGTTGGAATGAGGCAAGTGGATAAAAGGGTGTTAATTTTGGAAATGGTGGGATTTTGTAGCTTTTTTTTTTTTTTCTTTTTTTTTTTTAAAATGCAATGTTTGAACGGAGAAATGCACTGAACCTCTCCACAGCAAGTGAAGATGTAAGTGATGCAGAAGAGCAACAAAAATGTAATCTAATACTACTGTCAATTTAATGTCCACTGTGTTTTATACAGTATTTTTTGTTCACTTTTGAAATTTTTACTAAAAAAAATTGCAAAAAAATAAAAAGTATTGTGCAAAGACATAAAAAGATTTCTTTTTTTTATTTCTACAAACTTGAATAAATAGACTTGATTGAAAAAAATATATATTTTATGTCTGTTATTTGGAAGATGCTCCTGTCGGAAGAACTGACCAAGTTGATGGCTGATAATTGTACATCCAAACAAGTTAATTGACCGCTACTTCTAAAATGAGTATCTTCTGTTACAAGGTTTAATAGGTAACATTTCACCAGTTTATTTGCCAAACCTCCCATTACCATGCATCAATTGGGTTTGTAACTTTGTGTTGAAGGTTAAGGTTTAAGTTAGGCAAAAAGTTAATCAGGATGACAATTGGTAGATGTCTGGGCTGTGGGCAACAGTGGCGTAACAACCGGGGGAGCCTTGTAAATGTTTTAAAGCTTACTGGAGTTCAGCTTTAAAGAAGAACTCCGGGCAAATAAAATCTGAACCCTTGCAGTGTGGGGGTAGCTCCCAACAAGGGCTCGTTTTGTGTAAAGAACTGAAATAAGAGTTAAACTTACCCAAACCTCCAAGCTGACTGCCTCCTAGACCAGTCCCAGCAGCCTGCACCTCCTCTGCTCCAGCGGTTTAAGGTCCAGGGAGTCATGTCATGTACAGTGATTAGGACGTGAGGTTGCTGAGGGACATTCCATCGCTGGAACGAAGGAAGGTGCAGGCTGCAGGGACCAGTCTAGGAGCCCAGCTGACTGTGAGGCTTGGGCCAGTATAACTGTTTTAGTTTCCTAGACAAAACAAGCACTTAACCCTTGCAGTGTTGGGGCAGCCCCCTGCAAGGGTTACGATTTTTATTTGAACTCCAGTAAGCTTTAAAAAAAAAATGTACAACCCCCCAACAAGGATTGATTGCTCACACAACTGGACCCAAGGAGCTGCTCCTCTTCAACATAAAGTACTTTATGGGTCCAACTAAAACATATTTCTATGAACACAAGCAACTCTAACCTTAAGGGTCTCTAGATAGGCAATCAATGTGCCTCATCCCCCAATACCATAGAAATTGGCGTAAGATCAGAAACATTGGGATTTTGTTAGCGACCTATACTTCTTTTTTTTTTTTTTTTAATCAATCAATCACAAAAATACTTTCTATTTTGACCATAAGTTAAAACAATACATCATAATCCTAAAATATAAGGTCCCTTTTCTCATTGTTTTCACCTTCTAATTAAGTAATGCCCTTCACTGCCACATTAACTGTAAGTCGTAGCATAGTACAGTTAGTCCAATCGCACAACATGTTTCCAAACGTAAGAATCTTGTATGCTTGATGATTAAGTTGTGGCAACTGGTGTTTCCAACTCATTTCGCAAAATGCTTCTTCAGGGGATCAAGGGCAAATGTGTGGCACACACAACACAGGGGGACTAGCCAACATAAAAGGGGGGAAACACCTCCCCTTCCTGCCGGAACTTGGCGAGACCACAGGGAGGCGCACAAAAGCAGAGAGCCATGACAATCTGCTAGTCAATACAGATTGCTCTCTGTGAAGGCCCCAAACACATCAAAAGATGAGTCTTGCATGCAGCACTGTATTCTTTGTGCCTTGCATTTTCCCTTGATTACCTGAAGCATTTTGCGAAGCACGTTGGGAACGTCATCTGCCACAAGTTGTCACGCATACAAGATTCTGAGTGGATTGGGCAAAACTGGAACAGACAAAAACTGGAGCAGCTGTGTATGGCAACCAGTCAGCTTCTCTCTTCAGTTTGTTCAGTTAAGATTTGAAAATGAAAGAGAAGCTGATTGGTTTCCATGCACAGCTGCTCCAGTTTTTGTCTGCTCCAGTTTTGATAAATCCCCCACTCTGACGTTTGGAAACGTGTTGTGTACTTGGACTAACTGTACTATATTGTGACGAACGGTTTGTGGCAGTGGAGGGCATTATGTACTTGTAAGGGGATCACAATGAGAAAAGGGACCTTGTATTTTATGATTTATATGCCTCTTAAAAAAAAAACCCCCACAATGTTTCTGATTTTGTGCATACTTCTATAAACATGCAAGTTTGCATCATCTCCATGTGCGTGTTTATGCCTATTGAGGAGGGATGGGAAGACGCCAAACCTTGTCTAGTGGGTAAACAGTGATGAAACAGGAAATTCGGTCTGGCTGAACAGTTCCTCCAATGAGAAGGATTGACCTGAGGGTGTCCGGAGACAAATGTGAGACAGCAAGTATTTGTGGAAAGTGGTCAGTAATGGCAGCTTGCGTTTCTCTCCTCAACCTTCCGAGCCAATTTCTGTGTTGGACATGATTTCAAATTCCATCTTCTTTGGCACAATTTGTTATTTTGTCTATAAATACTTCTGTTTTTGTTTTTTTGTTCAGATTTGCCATTTTTAATGAAGGAACTGTGCACAGCTCTGAAACCATGGATAACATTTCCAGCTGATGCATAAATAAGCAGGCAGTTTTCATTAAACATTTGGGATGTGTTGGTGACACTTTGCTCTTCATTAGTAATTGATAAGGGGCCATCTGTCAAAAAGTGTCTATCACCATAAGGACACTTTTGTACTGTGCTGCTACCCAAAGGATATTACCAATATGTAGAATGTCATAGCTGACTACCTTCTAAATATTTTAGTTGCCAAGCTTGTCTCAAGTCTTTATGAGCCGCTGACCTGAGCAAAGCACAGAGCAAGTGAAGTCTAAGTAAAGGCAGAACGCCTGATCCGCATACTCATTCTGAGCTACTGAGATTATTGAAGCCATTAGATCACTATGACTGATGGGCAACTTGCATTTTCAGTAGGAGGGGCCAGTAAACAACAACTCCCATATTTCCTTTATTATTGGTACCTGAAGTGCTAGGAAAATGACTAGAAGATGCTTCCAGTAAAAAATGCACATAAAATTAGTTAATATAATACACATTATTCCAGGGGTGAGAATTTCTCATGGGATCCTAGTGTTGGCAATCGCCCAGGTGGATTCTAGAAACTACATATTATGAAGGATAGTAATATCTATGCATACAAAGTAAAACCTCACTTGGCATCTGAACACTGTGTTATATTTACAAAGACTCCACAACCTAAGATTGGGTATAGAGCATTGGAACTACTGATATATAACCTCCTCTCAGAGGATAGAATGTTGCAGAACTTCACTATACTGCTCCCTGCCCCAAACCTAGGGGTGAGGGGAATGGAATATTTCTTTTACAATGGTAAATAAAATGTCTACGACGTGGAATTCAAACTGACATGTTATTCAAACTCTAAAGTCTATGAAAGACTTTATGTAAAGTCTCAAGTTATTGCAGGCTCTCTCAGCTGAAGACAAGCAAATCCTGCAATACAATTTGAAGTGCACTGTATGGAGAATACAATTCTCAAATTCTCTTAATTGACAGGTAAGAGGTTAAATTTGTGTGACAAATTAGTTTATCTTTATAACTTTTATCTAAACATTTCTCATTTAATGTTCTTCCCCATCACAGCATAATGTTTCTGCAAAAACATATCCCTACTGCAACACGGTGGCAAGGTCTCTGCACAACACAACCTCTGACACCTCTTGCATCTCGCTTCCTGCAGACTCCTGCATCTTCTGCTGCATGTGAAAGAATCGACTATGTTTGGTAATATTCATACCAAATCAAGAAACAAACTGACCTGTGAACGGGTAGAATAGCTTGTTTCAATCCCTGCAAACCTTTCGTTTTTAGATGTCCATGAGACAAATGACAAATATGAAGAGAAAGAAGAAACGGAAAATGAGACAGATTACATTGCATGTATATCTTGTGTCCGTTTCCTTTTCTCATTTTTTAAAGCACCCCTTCAATGGTAAACTTTGCTATTGAGATTAAATATTGAGGTGTTCCTTACACCCCCCTCCAATGCTGTGTCCATAATCTACTAGCACAAATATGCCACTTAAAGTGACATTAAACCCTCAGATTTTTTAACATAAAACAATACTGTAATGTGTGCCTTACTGTAATCCATGGTTGTTTCCCTTCTCTTTGCTGCTCTTCCTTTTAAATCTGTATCTGTTCTCATGCTCTGCAGAACCTCTGTGAAGGTGCTAAGAAAAACCTGGAATCGCCAGTCTTGTCTGCTGTAACAAAACATCTAATAGCTAAGAAATATATTATTCTTAAAAAAAAAAAAAATTTTATGCTGTGTGAATGGAAATGCATAACAAACATATGACTGCAAAGTGTGCAGCATATCTGGACACCATAAGAAAAAAAAAATCATAATTACTACATCTCTCTAGTGCATGCACATTTCTCAGTGTTTTGTGTCTTTAAAATGCAAGTATAGAAAAATACCTGTTGATTTGCTGGAAAACTGGTGAGGCCTCAAGCAGTGTTATCAGCCCTGCCCAGTTTTCTGTGGACCACAAAACAATTCCCCCTATGTTATGGAAACAAGGATGTATTCTGTAGTCCTAACACACGCCATGTCCTTGGATGACAATGTCGCTTCTCTATAGATACAGTACAATGAGTGAGAAATGTCATTTTAGGACACGAAGTGTGTTACTGGCAGAATCACCACGTGAAAAATCGCAAAAAAAGTCTTTAAAAAAAAGACAGCTAATTACACCACCACATATAAGAACTGGTAAGCAGCAATATGGCACATTTTTGTTCTTGGGTTTACAGTAGATTTGAAATACTGATCTGCTACCTTTTCCCCCCAAATCAGGT